ATATATATAATAATATTCATATTGCGCACACACGCACAAAATATTATATATGTTATATTATATAATATTACATAAAACATTTTATATATATACCATTGTATAATATTACATATTATCTATATATATATATATTTTATATATATAATATACCCCTGTTGTACTTATATATACATATATAACAGGGTGTTTCAAAAAATTGTTCATACTCGTATGGAATTAACTTATTTTTTTTTTTTAGAGAACTGATAACACAAGATATCATAACAAATGTATTTTGTCTTCAAAGAGTCTTCCACTTGTTCATCATCAATGTGAATACATCCTTGGAATCTTCCTCAGATCCCTGAGGCGCACATCTCACACGAATTCCCCATGTGTATGTGTGTTAACATTTCTTTGAAGCACTCTGTATATATGAGTTTACATATGTACATTACAAACATACGCGAGAAATAGATGTTGCTTATGGATGGCACTGCGTTAATTGCACTTCCCCAGATCACAATTGTTCGGCACAAATTCCGAATCCTGTTTACATGTGATGAATACGTGACTTGAAATTGCGGAAAATGAAACGGATCATTACACCTTCAATACGGAATGCGCGACACAATGACAATCGTCTGATTAAAAATTTAAACTCAATCAGTCAGCTCTCTGAAAAATGTATACTTGTCGATTAAAATATATTATATACAATAAATGACTTCCGATCATATTATTTTTTTTATCGTCATACTATGAAAAGTCGCAAATTTTCATATACCGTCATATTATAAAAAATAATCTCTTTATGCAAAATGTACATTGTGTAACAATTTTTTTTACTAAGTATATATATAACTATAAGTCTCATCTTAAAGATATTATTAAATATCTTCGGACGAGTGATTTATAGTTAACATATATCTGAGTGTTACATATATATGTCCTATATATTAACAAGTTTTTTATCTCTTCAAAAATATATTAATCGCAAGTTATACATGTGGGGTTGTAGCTGACAAAGAGACATTTGATCTCGCATCGAGCGATAACACTCGTCAGTGCAATGGCCGTGCTGCCGTATCTCTTCGACTGTACTACCGCTGACATTTCCCTCACTTTTGTTTTATTTGTTTTTTTTTTTTTTTTTTTTTTTTTTTTTGTTTAACTTTCCCGTTGATCGGCCAGGAGAGCCTTTCGGAGTCGAAAACGTGGTGAATCAACATCGCAGTCGACGGGTCACGATCAAGTCGAGAAAGAGGATTCCCCGATATATTAGACATCGGCTACCGGAGGGCACCGCCGATCGACCATTTTGATGCGCGACGGCGCTTCTTTGCTTGCGAAACAAACAGAGGCAATTTAGAGATTCTCCGCGGGGTTGGATGGACTCGACAGCGAAACCGATTCTGTATAGGTGTACATTCTCTCTTTACTCCCTCTGTCCGCGCTGTGTGTTTTCCTTTTCCTTTACTCTCAACTCAATCCCGACGTAATCTCCTCCTCCTCCTCCTCCTCGTCCTCCTCCACGCCGGGTTTCTTTACACGTTACAGAATCCGCGAGATTTTTCCCATTAACCCGCTACACCGCTCGAATTTATTACTCGCCGCACTTTTCGTGGGATTCGAGTTTGCGCGAGATTTTTTCCGCGAGAAAGAGAAAACAAGGAACACGTTCTTTGTTTATTTCGAATATTCCGAAATCGCGGTTCGAGATATTTGAAATACGTGTATTCCGTTTGTTCCAATTGAATGCGAATTATACGCAATAATGGGAAGATTAAAAGTCACATCAAGAACGGAACATTCGCGCGAGCGCGTGCGCACAAAGAACGTATTATGCACAGAACGATATTATAATTACAACTTCGCATGTGAATGTCAAACAAAAAATGCGACTAGAGACACGGCGCACGTAAAAGTGTAACTCCATAAAGTCGCGTTGGCTTACTATAAATTTGCTCTCTTACAAAAATAATCACTGCGATCCTCTCCTCTCTCTTTCTCTCTCTCTTCCTGTTCTCGTGATATGTGAAAGAAACACCGGTTTTCGGATGCGCCGACGACGACGACGACGACGATGCAGCTTCTCCTACGTTCTCGTTGCTCCCGTGACACCCTGTATTTTCACGGGAAATTTAACCACCGCACATTTTACCGCGCTTTAAGCTACCGGCTTATACCGCGAAACGCATTTCCACTGTTCGTACGCGCGAATCCACGCAAACACACCTCTTAGTAACGTCGGTGCATTGTAGAGTGCGATTTTTTTGTTTTGTTTTTTTTTTGTTTTTACTTTCGCCGTCTCGTCCGTGGTTTTTTCTAAAAGTAACGTGAGCAAGGACGACCATTTAATTACTTCGGGTCGCCTCAAAAAAAAAAAGCTACCTCTTGCCTCATAATTAGATCCGTGAATTGTCGTCGCACATCGCTGCTAGGAGTTGTGTATAAATAGTCCAGTCACACGAGTCCCAGAATGCCGCAATTATTCCAATAGCCACCATCGAGAACTTCACGACGAACAATAACCGTGAGAATCGCTGTAACTGAAATTATTTCAAAAGTTTCAACCATGCTGCCACGAAAATTTCTGCGGAAGAAGTAGATAGAGTCTGCGCAGAATTTTTTTTTACTCAAGAATTGTGTGTGTGTTTTTCAAAGTTTGTCTAAATACATCGCGCGTGTGTGTGATAATGTAAGCAATATTGTTTTACAAAACAACAACAAAACGCAATGGTGTCGTCTCTGTATTACAAGAACTCCGCATGCAAATAGTAATTACGACGACACAATTTTGTGCTCCTCTCCAAATTCCGCTAATGCCTACTCACGTAAAGTTGCAACCCTCCTCATGTTGTTCAGGGGCGTTATTGATGCAACTTCAACGTGAACAGGCATTAAATGGAATCCAGCGTATGTATGTAGAACATTCGAGCTCGCTCAATTTGCTAGATTCGTAAATGTGAATAATACGTCTCGTACTACGTGAGCAAGCAAACGTCCGAACACAAACGGCGAAACACAAAGAGAGGCAACGAATCAAACCTACAAAGAGGATAGTCCTCCCGTGTATCTTGTCGACTCAAAGTGATCTCGAGATAGCTGCCACATATCGTTGAAGGCGCGTGTGAGAATATATATATATATATATATATATATACACATATATAGGCATATGTATGTGCGTGTGTATAGAGACTATTTCGTCGAATTTATATGCTAATTCACCGTGCTCGTCCTGATTAACTTTCTGTTCTAGTTACCCGAGATCGAGTCCCAATGTACCCTCCCTCTTCGTGGTAACAAAGTCGCAAACCGAGAGATGTAAACATTGTTGTTGTGCCGCAAAACTGCGGATCTGTCAATGGGACAAATCCGATTTCCGGAGGGACAGATCCGATCAGATCCTCTCTATAAAAATGCGTCATGTCGCTATATGTCCCCTCGGTGGCTATTTTTGCCCCGTGATTTTGCGATCTAAAATACGAAAATTCGTTATTTTTATGAGAAAGAGAGAGAGAAACGTTTTCACACGAGAAACACTTTACGATCTCGCTCGCGCGACGCAGAAAACAGATAACTCAAAGCGCATAAGATAAGAACGGTACTCAGGTTTTTTTTATTACTTTACATAATGGTAAATACGCAGGATATGGAGATATTTGCGATTTTCGTGTTTTCGCTATAGAGTCGCCATCCATCCTGTTGGGTCGTCCGCTGGCTTAATCTATTTTACGAAGTTCGCAAACACATTTGTCACTCTTGAACCAATTCGATCTCTCAGACATGAACTACTATTATTTACGAGGTTTTTTTTCTATCACCCGCCAATTGAAACAGCCGCTGTCACATTCTGTGGATCGGATTTTACAAGCAGATGTAATAAGCGGAGTTTCGATAATAAAATAATGCAAAAAATAACACAAAAAATAATACACACTTACGCATGCGATAACAGTGGCACATTGACGATAAACGCGTGACTTTGTTCAAAAATCTTGTTCAAAATCCCAAAATTGTCGACGATAAGTAACGCCGTTCCGCACACGTACAAAAGTGCAACAATTCATATTAGCCGCTGCATCAATGGACGATGCACGCCATCTCGCGGCATCTAAAGTGCAGTTAAACAAAGTGCACCATCTAGCGAATGATAACGTTTCGTGCAGCTTTGACGGCTGTTGGTAAACGGAGTCTCTGTAGCCTTTGTTGGCAAATTGCTCCTCGCCCGGAGAAAAAATTTTGACGTATGGCAGGTCACACGTTTATCGCTTTTTTGTGGGTAAAACATCAGTGCGAAAACACGAAGGAAACAGACGTACATCGCAAATTTTGTGCTCGCCAAAATACGAACAATTACAGGAGAACAAAAAAGGAATATAAAACAATAACAAAAAGATATACGAAAACGCTTGATTTCTTTGTTTTGAGGCTTATATCGCCGATGTTTTATTGTAAGTTACATCCAATAACAAAAAAGTTGTACTATCATACAAGAGAAACAAAATAAAAACTACTTATTCCCGCATTAAAAACTATATAAAATGCTCTATTTCTATTTGCGATTTGTATTTTCTGCGGAAAGAACGAATCGAAATGTGTGCGCTACTTTGCTTGCGGCTTACTCTCAAATTTAATCCCGCAGTTTTCGTGTAATGAGAACAAAATACAGTTGTTTGCTTGATCTACGTATTTATTGGCTAAAAGACATTCACAATGATCTATTAAAAACGTAAGAAACAAGCTGTGGCACAACAATGTTTTTTTTTTTTTTTCGACGTTGATTTTATCTCTTCTTTTTATAGTATAGCGCAGCCTAGTAATTAAGAGTTTTTACTTATATATATGTATATATATATATATATATGTATGTGTATATATATATATATATTATATTATATCGGTCTGTGCTTTACGGAGCCGTTTATTCGTATAACGTAAGTATTGTGTAACGCGCGCGCTGAGTTTACAAAAATATAAGGTTTAATCACGAGATATAGAGAAATAATTTGCGATCGATTTGTGTATATGTATAAATTACATCTTCCTTAAAAAACTTAAGTGTCACTATCCTCTTCCTATTTCGCAGGACTTTGAGCGTTTTTTTTTTGTTTTTTTTCTTGTTTTTTCGACATACAACAGTTGTTTTTTTTTTTTTTTTTTTTAAATATATAACACACATGATAAAAATAAATAATACGCTTCGAAAAACTCGACAATCGGAAAGAGAATACGTTCACTATGATATACAACTAAAAAAAAAACGATATTATCCTAGAGACTCACATATTGTACTATACGGACAATAAGCCAGAAAAAGAGGGACATGTTCTCGAGACACTCTCTCTCGAATTTCGTGTAATATGAAGATTGTTGCAGTTACAACAATTAACAATCTGTAAATTGCGCGCGTATATCTGGATTCTTAAAAAAGAAGAAAACGAATACTATTTACTAATACAAAATTTAATACAGGTACATTTAGTTTACAGTTTAATTCGTTTTATTTTAATGTGTGAGATAGAAATATCAAGTTTGTTTATATCACAACAGCCACGTTGCTTCACGACGACGTCAGAAACGACGAGAAACGCCTCAGGGTCGGTATTGTCTAATCTTCGATTTAAGCTAATCGGTCGATCAAGTGTCAATCGTGATTGGTTAATTCCGATGGATTAATCGGCCGATTAAGTTAATCGAGGATTGTGAGATCGATCCTCCTGTGACATTTCTCGTTTCTGACATCGCGAACCAACACGACTGCTATAAGCGGATCCTTGGAAGGATCCTCAGAGGATGCTGACCGACATTGTTTTGGGATTACTGTTTCCGATGAACAACCTGAGCTGCAGTTTTACTTTTTGATTTAAAAATACAATTCTCAGTTTAAACCTAAACAAAATGATTATCTCTCGCTACCCAGAAGAATATAATGAAACCTTTGGACAAGAATTTAAAAGCTTTTTGAAAAAGAGAATGAGATGTGAAGTGCCAGCAGAATATCTGACATGTTCGATGGTTAATGTCACTTGTGTAATGTGAGACAACGACCGCTCTTTAGTTTCCTCTAAACGAAGACGCTATTCCGTGAAGTTCGGCTTCCAGCATCCTCTCAAAAATATTGTTTTATCATTTGTTAATTTGAAATTACTTAAACCAAGTAAAATTATATATAATAAAACTTAGCTTTCCTTAAACTTCTCACATAATAAAACTCGCACACAGAATATTACGACTTTCGAAAATTAATTGTATAAGTATGTAAGTATTTACCTATGTGATATATATTTATATATACATTTATATATATGTGCTTTAAGTAAATAATAGTTTGTGTACACAAAGTGTGCGACATGTGTGATACAATTAATATCGTATTTAAGTTATGTCGCGCTTAATTTATCTCTGACAATATTTATCATCAAATATTTTGCGATAGCAATTATTATAAATGTATTAATTTAGGAAGAGCAGAATATTTCACTCAATAAATTGAAATTTACTGAACTGAAAGAGTGCGCTTGCTTCAAATTGACAACAACAAACTTCTATGTATTGAAATACATTTGATGTATAACAACTCGCTGAGGTCAATTAAGCGAACGACAAGAAGTAAATACAATATCACTTTTTCTAATATTTAAAGTCAAAATTCAAGAAAGGTTCTTTCTTGAAAACTAAGCTTCGCACGAACAAACCTTATTTTACATTTTTGACTTAATTTTGTACTCAACTCTTTTCCGGTTGTATCACAAACTGTGTACAAGTTGCCGCACTTTGTACATACCATTACATACGATGTGCAATACATACATATAAAGTACATATATATACGCTGTATATTTATTTAAATTAAGTAAGAGTTCTCTTAAAATAACTCCGAAAACAAACATTCAAAGTAAACCACGTTGAATATCGTTAAACGATTTTACAAACATCGACTCTTCGTCTTACAGTTATTTCGTTCGTTTTATGCATTTAGGGTTTGACAACACTGCAGCAAATAAGCGGCAGTTACATTTAGTTTGAGATAAATAAAACTGGCAGTGACAAAAATACATGCACAACGATTAATTTTTGCTTTTTTTTTTCTGTTTTTGTTTTTTTCAACGCAGTTAACTTTCTTTTCTTTCTACAATGATACGATACGTGTGTATACTCCGTTATTCTCGAACTCATAAGTGACTTAAGAGTTAAGAATCGATATATTCTCATAGATATAAATTCCATTAGAGGTTTTACAATTCAAACTTGCTTAAACACCTATATATTTTTATTTTTCCACGGAAATCTATGGTTGTTGAAGAAAGTGGTTCCAAAAATAGCCGTTCGAAACGCACAGCGTACCATAGAAAGCTCTATATAAACATTACCGGTAACAATAAGCGTTTCCCACTAACAATTATCGATAAAATTAACAGCATAAAAATTCTATGGAAAATGTAAACGATACTCCGCATTGTCAGAGAAGATTTGGTTCGATAAAACGCTTTGTTTGACGAGGATTAAGAAACCTGATCTTTTTTTTTTGTTTAGAGCGATAAATGATATATATTGTTCTCTATAATCACATAAACTCTCAAAAGGCAAATACCGATGGCCCACTGTTATAAAAAACCGATTACTTCCTATCGTGAATTATGAAATTGGGTTTGCAAGCAGGAACTGTTTAGAACACGATATTATACAGCTGATATTATACAGTTAAAATATATATATATATGTATGTATATATATATATATATTAGTGTGAAGAGAGAGAGAGAGAGAGAGAGAGAGAGAGAGAGAGAGAAAGAGAGAGAAAGAGAGAGAAAGATAAAGAGATAGAGAGATGAGTATCAACGAAACGTTAAAGAATTTCTCATATAAAATTCAATGCTAAAAAGTAAATATTGTATTTCTTTGGTATTTTCTTATGTACCGTCTCTCGTCAGTTTTAGCCGTTTTACATAAAGAAGAATTTTTTTATGTTCTCCAAAGCGTAAATGTGTTAAAAGAGAAAGAGAGAGAACGCGACATCACTATCATATGTTATAAATAAATCCTTAAAGTGTATGCGTGTGTGTGTGTGTGTGTGTCTGTGCGTGTATGCGCATGTGTATGCGTGTAAAAACAATCACATCGTCGATGATTCCCAGCATGGCTCTATGTCGTGGATCCAAATCCGTCGTGCGTCCCTACTAAATTTGTTTCCTGAAATCTTGAATCTACAAGTGCGAATTTCAGGAAAAGCAGTTTCTTTATTATATTTTTTTTTTGTTTCTAATCCCACATGTTATTGATAATCTGTCTCTTTTTCGCAGATTTTTTTTTATGTGTTCGTACTTAATACTCCATTCGCGCACTCTCCAGTTCCATACGTATACACAGATACCAAACAATTGGCGTATTCTCTCACACACATATATATCATCCTTACACATAATAATGTATCACATTCACTTCACACACCGTTTGTTTTTCTCATCATATATGTCTCTTAGAAATACATGTTACTCACATATAACGCTATACAACTGTAATAATTTAAAGAAATGTGTATTATAAAGGTTTGCGGAGCCATAGCAAGAGGTAGGACAACAGTTGTAAATTGCGCGTGTATGTGTGTGTGTGTGTGTGTGTGTGTGTGTGTGTGTGTGTGTGTGTGTGTATGTGTGTACCTTCGATATGATAACTAGTGATAAGTTGAACTAACAATGCACACTGATCACATAAATCGTAATACATCGTTGTCCAGTTTTCCCTATTTTTATACGTAGATACGAATAGTGTTGTGAGTCTCGAGACGAGTTTTATAATCACACGAGCGATATTGAAAAGAAACGTTTTTAGCTATTAATTATAATATTATTTTTTTTCACATGACATGGTTTGTGCTTAAAAAGAAAAAACAATTTTTGTTATTGGATGTAATCCGTTTGGTTGATAACAATTGGCTACGTGTGTGTGTGCACGACGGAGATTCAAATATAAATTTTTTTTTGGTTTTTTGTTTTTTTGTTTTTTTTTTTTTAATTTAATCCGATACAATTGTAGTGTTCTTTGCAATTGTTTTATAATATATTTACTTTAAAATCTCATTTCACGCACATTGTCAAATAAATTTTTTTTTTTTTTACATATTGATTAAGTACATATAAAATGTAATATCGTTGAATATGACAATTGTTTTATTGAAATTACAGAGTAAATCTAATCTAAACTAACATTACCCAAAAAAAGAAAACTTCCTCTTAATCCGGAGAATAATAAAATTACACTAAAACTAATTTTCAACTATCTTGATATATCTGATCATGTACTTTCCCCCATCTCTCTTACAAAAGAAAACAAATCAATTTCTTCCTTTAGGATGTGCCGAGTTACTAAAAAATTTGTTTTTACCGCGATTTTTGCTTAATTTTGATGATAAGTCGATTTGCGTAATATAGATGGCCTCCAGACTGCATGCATCGATTGAATCGTTTAATAGCAATAATCAGTTACCGAGTATTAAAAACAAAAATCAAAAACAAAAAAAGAAACCAATATTGCACTCTACGAGGAAAAGAATGTCGGAAAAAAATATCGATGTATATATACATATATAGATCGTTTTACTCTGAAATTTGGACCACTGAATTAATAATAGTTGCTAGAACACACATTCACCAGGATACCGATAGAACACGGTGACGAAGCACACGAAGAAGGTGATTTACCGAAATTACGACGTGTCATTTAACGAAAATCTCACTACTTTGTTTTACGTTTATTTAATCCTTTTTTTTTCATTGTATTTCAGCTATGCACCGCAATTACTAGTGAAACTGTTGATCTCTCGTAGCCATTTTATACACAAGGATACAATCGGCATCGTTGAGACATTTTCTTTCACAGGTAATTTCCATCGAATTCATTTCTTTTTGTATAAATTGAAGATAATATTTATTAGAGCTGTAATGCGTCTCTCTCTCGTGCTTTTGTAAATTTAAAGATGTAAGTTTATAAAGACTAGGCGCGCATACGCGATTTTCTGTCGCGCGATTATTCAGTCGCGAAACAAAACAACAATGGGACCAACGATGGTACAAGCGATGTGGTACAAGTGCGCGCACACACGACTAAATAATCGCAGTGACAAAAATACAAATGCAACCGATGTCCTATTTTTCCAAGCGACGCGATTATCGCGAAACGATACATCACACTGACATCGAACGAACGGTGCGTTTACTGGCGTCCTGTTCAGTCGCAATTCTTGGCGTCGATCGGGGAGTTGACTCTCTTAACGATCATTTTACACACACATATATATATAGTATATACAATATGCAAACAGTTTATAACAAAACCTACTGCTTTGTACAATCGTAGCACACAGTTTTGCGAAACTCTCTCTCTTTTATACTTATACAAATAACTGCGTTTTTTTCTTTTTTTCTTTTTTTTTTTTGTTTTTTTTTTTTTTAGAAAATTGTCCTTTCAGATGTCCACCTCGGAGCTAACGATAAAATAGATATTTCTTTATTCGCGCTGTTCTTTGCCTTTTTACCCTAGAACACACACACCTTTTGCGAAAATCGCACGGTTCTCCTGTGATCGAATAATTTTCAATCAAAAACGTTCAAAATCAAGAACACCTCGGACTGTAAACAAACCAGGCATACTCCGGAGTTACGTCACCTTCGATTCCGAAGAAGGACGTCGTAACTCGACAACGTTCGCGAGTCGGAAAAGCACCGTGTTGAAAATTGACAACAATGCACAGACAAGGGCGTCAATGTCGTTTGCGTATGAAGAGTTGCACGTTTTCTTGTTGAGATATTATTTGAGACATTACTGATGCGATTTCATAAAAAACATAAACGCTCCTGTGTTGACGATTGAAATAAAAGAAGTCTGAAGAAAACTGGTTTTTATCAAGTTTGCGAATTAGCGAGAGCTGTCGCGAGGTAGCGACTCCTATTGCACGATAGCGTCACGGCGCTAAGTGAGAACCTCGAAGTGAGTGACGTGATTCGGAGGGGGGGGGGGGTAAGAAACAACCGAGGAGCAACAACTCTGCCCGTAGAACTGTGCGAAGCGTCGTAAGTCGAGATATGCCTGTATGACGATTTCATGCTTTCCTTTTTTCAATTTATGCCGATACTTGCATGTCTTAGAATTGAACGCGAATAAAAACGCACAGGATCTCCTCCCGCAGACTCACACAAGATGTATGTTCTAGGATTTCAAGCGTTAACAGCGGAGTCACTTGTAAAAAAAATCCAGGTTTCGAAATGCCAAAATTGAGACTCTTGGTCGTCAGTGCGCGCATCTTCCCGCGACCTGAATCGTTTTGAAATCGCGGCGACGGAGAATCACATGTGCGCGCCTAGCCCAAGAGGCAAATCAGACCTACGTTCTTCTCATTGTAGCGAGTGCATTCGATTCAATATGAATTTTCAATAAGTATTATCAACAATGTCTCAGTTTTATATATATATATACACACACGTACATGCATATGTACATACGCACACACGTGTACACATATACATACACATATACAGGATAGTACAGAAACATAATGCAATAGAAGTTACCTACTCAACAAAGTGTTTCACCATTATACCGATTACACATCTCTTATCTATGAATTGTTCTTTTAGGAAAGAGCGCACATTTTTTTCTTCTTTTCTCTCCTTTTTTTTGTTTACTTTTAAATTAGCGCTAAAATGTCTTTAAATTATAATCATCACTCAAAGTGTTTTTTTTTCTTTGCTAATTACCTAACAATTTTCTTATTTGCTAAACCCGCGCGTAAAAATTAAAGGAAGTAGATATGAAACGTGTAGCAACAGAGTAGCAATGATAACAGTGATATCAAGGCAGTTTACGTGTCGATCGACTAGTTTTATCCGTCGAACGACAGCTCATAATCGGACCAATCAGACTCCTCAGAATCTGATAAGAAAGGAATATCTTCTAAATCGAGATACATCCAACGATCGTCTCTTTCATCAAGGAAATCCCACAAGATCAGTTGCTGTAAATAGTGCAAAGCCGCTTGTTTACGTTCTGCGTTATACCATTAAAAGTGTAATTTGTAAAAATATACGGATGTAGCTCGACATGACATGATTTTTTTTTTTTTTTTTTTTTCCAGCGTGTGTCGTTTACATCAACGACAACAAAAGCAAAATAACTACGTAAACACAATACATAAATACGGGATGTAGACGAAATATGAGAGTGTATTGATTATTAAACGTAATTACACTTACGTGCAAGATGTCGATATCGGTGTCGGGGGTATTGCGCCTTTGTCGTACCGGCGGGCCTACATCCTTCTTGGTCCCGTCGGGAAGTGCGTGAAGGTAGAAACATTTATTACCAAATGGACACTTGCCACGTCCTTTGTTGAAATACTTGCAGTCCTTGGTGCTGTAACGGTAAATAATTAAAAATTTATTGCGGAACAAAAATTTCAAAACGAGAAAATATATAACCATAATTTTATCGATCGACCGTACCTCAAAGCGCCTTTGTAATCTCTGATCAGTTTTTCTTTTTCTTCTTTCGTGTCCACCCAATACATACTGGGACAAACAAAATCCGATGGAACACGACACTCGGGACACGCCCTTATAATTTTGTTGTCGAACTGTTTAGCCTGACGCCATTTTCTGATGCAAGTTAGACAAAAGCAATGATTGCAATTCGGTAATATACCAAATCTCTGTTCTTTCAATGATTTCTCCATTATGGTCTCGAAACAAACACCGCAGGACTTCTCTTTGCTACGTTGAATGGCAAAAGATAACTCCATATCCGCTTCATGTCGTTTCATACACGCCTACGCACGATTAAGATTTCAAATATTATTTCTGTGTGTGCGTGCACGCGCGCGCATGTGTACACGTGTTTGAATTTCAACAAGAAATATTAAAAGTCGGCTACCTTTCAACAATCATAAACATTGCGAAAATTTTGTATCATTTGTCATTTCTTGCTTGACATCGTAAAAAACAACGATATGATTTACTGAAAAATAGCCTCAAATTACGAGATTGAAAACAATAGATACGAATTTAATTTACTTTAAATTTAACGGCGAGAAATAAATTTCTCCTCCAGTTCTCCTTCGTTATCGCGTTAACGTGCAACGAAACTTATCAGACGGATATTATCGACGGAGTATCGAATTTAGAAGAGAACCGCAGAAGACATTTCTTTCGCCGCGCACGGCGCAAAAATGAAAAAAATTTACATTTGTATGTTTCTTCCTTAATTCCTCGTTATGTGGATGAAGAGCTGCACAGCCACACAAATCACAAATGTTGCCGTGGAGATATGTGCAATTCAAGTTTTTACACATTCCGGTTGTTTCTGCGTACGGGCACAGAGGTTCTAAGGCAGGGCTCGACGCTTGGCCTGATGGGTTGACAGCATGAGCGTACGAAAGTGGCATTGATGTACTCGTGGACGACCCTGAGGAGGATGTTTCGTCTGTAGATGATCCAGGTATAGCTGTGGGCACAAATTCAGGTGCCTTGACCCATTCTTCGGCTGTACGTTTGTCGGCTTTTCTATAAGAAAAATATTTACTGAGTAAATACCATCTAGATATAAAACCACCCACGTATAAAGAGTAAATTGCTGGATTTTCTTACTTATTTTTCAAAGAGTTTACTGTATGCTGACTGGTTGTGATGCTTTCTGTTGTTGTATTGTTGTCTGTACTATTTTGGGCGAAACTATGACGATAACGGCACTGATTGCCAAATTTACACGTGCCATGTTTGAAGAAGCGGCAAGTGGTGGAATGAATTGGTACGTGACTCGTGCCACCGGCGGACGTTGTCATCACCTCACTGGAACTCGCGTCACTTCTAGTCCCTTGCACATGCCGATACCGACAGTTGTTTCCTTCACGACAAGCGCCATTCTTGAAGTACCTAAAAGCATAACACATTTACATTTCACATGTGAACAACAACAATAGACGTGTTCTCGTAGGACAACACAACGTAAGAAACGCTCCCGTGTCGCGCGCGCGCTCGTTCGAAAATCTATCACGGGAGAATTCAAAATAAATGAACCACACCACACATCCGCCCGTGAGTTGTCAATATTTATATTATTGTGTTGGTCATATTGTAACCGATCAGACGTTGTTATGACACGAGTCTGCGATTAACCTATCACCGACCCGATACCTTTGCCCGCGTGGGTCGCGATTGTTCGCACGAACGCTCTTCCCAGGGGAAAAGCTCCACGGGACTCCAGAGTCGCGTGACGTTTGTCCCGCGTTCCCCTTACCGGCAAATAACACTCTGCGTCCAACTGTCGGCCATTTTCTCGCTCCTCCTCCGTCTTAACGATGACCGACGACCGCGTCGTTTCGCGAAACGATTAGTCGCGTGGTTCGCCGCGGACAGAGAAGAGAGAGAGAGAAAGAAGAGATAGACACGCGCTTATCGCCGAGCCCCGCTCGAGCCGGGACGACGGGACGCCGCTTCCACGTAACAGCCGAAAAACGAGACAACCGCACCAAACCGCGACGTGGAGCACACAACACACACACCCCCTGTTGCAACAAGAACGCGCACGATTCGCGCCGCGCAAATACGCGCACTCACGAGAATTGCAATGTATATGTATACGAAGTGCGCGAGCGCGCGCGCGCGCACACACGTCCTTCCGTGCTCTCGTCGCGCACGAAGCGTCAACAACGTCACGCATCACCTCGACGACTCCCTCATGGAATTGTCCGCTCTCGGTGACTCTCCGCTTGTTTTCTTTTAAACATCTAGCAAGAAAATCTTGGACGTGTTGTTGTCTCTTTCGTTACTTACGTCCGAAGTACTTCGCTTCCGCTCGCCATCCTCTGTGTTTTTCCGTCTTCACCGTGCGAACGTTTTTTTTTTCTCGAAAACGATGTAAGAAACTTCTCGATTGCTGAAAAAAAATTATCTTCCGTGACGATTTCCACGTGACGACGCGGTTATGGTGTGCTGATGACGTTTTATCTCGCCAACGAACGGGACACGAATTTAAACACTGTGAACACACACGTTAGTTATTGTCAGTTAATTGTTAATTAATAATTAATATACAAAACACAAACAAATAGAATACGTAACGGAAGACTGTTGCGGTCGTTGTTCCAAAGATTACAAATGATTTGACCGTTAACGGAAAATTTCTCTTTGAATTGCGAAAAATTTTCTCGTCACACGCTCGTGACCATTTGTTTTTCGTCGGGATACAGAAAATCACACACATACACAAGCGCGTGCTACTTACATACGATCATCGGACTCGATTGCGCTGTTCTGTCTGAGATATGCGTGTTATTTTCTCGAACACACGAGCCGAACCAGGTGAAAAATCAAACAACCACACGTATTTGTCTCTGGCCGTTGATTGAGTTTTCGGTCCGAGGATGTGAAAATTTTGCCGTGAATACACGCCGTGATATTTGGATCGAAATTCTGCTAGAAGAGATTCTGTTTATCGGAGAGATGCGATACAACAACGACGTTAAGTAAACCGTTAAAAAAAACCGATTAGAAATTCGCACGACGAAGCGACCGTCCAATAGCGACGACAGATTCGTCGCGAACATTAATCTCGATTATGACGATTCGTCTATTTGAATTAGGCCGGGATTGCGCAAAAAAAACCTCGAGCAATCAGACGTAAGTGGCAGACGAAGCGACCAATGAACAGTCCGCGTTTGCGATCTGAGCGAATCCGCGATCGTCCGACTGCGATTGGTCGCTTCGCGCTTGCGCGTGAAGTTTTTAAGGTCTCGTATCGCATCGCGAATCAGGATTGGATGAAAAATGTAACCAGTGATAATCGATCTCAGATTTAGTAAACTTGGTCGTGATTGGTTAAATTTCAATTCAGCCTCGTCCGTGAAACCGTGTTGCGAGCTTTAACGTCGTTTTGTCGCGGTTTTGTTTCTTCCCGTGTTTAGCAAGCTTTTACATACGGAACGAAGAATTTTTATTGTTGTCAGTTGTTATCGACGTGATAAACGATTGTCCGTAATTGTCGCGTGTTCAATCTCGAGTTTTCGAATGAAAATCTCGCGACGAAATTTTTCGCGGATGAGAAATCTCAACATCGAGACTGACTGTTTAATTTGTTCGTGCGTGATTTCGGTAATTGTGGTGTTAACTGAAATAAGTGTCCGCTAATCGTTTCGAACGAACCCGCACGTTTGCGCGGTTTTGACACGTTCCGACAGAAACTGCGGACAGTACTCAAACACATCGGCTTCCATTGTTTGCGAGAGCTGTTTTCGAACGAATGGACGCGTGATATCGCTTGATGCGTGACGTATCTTCGACACATGATCTTGTCAAGGCGCGACGTTTCGACTGCCAATTAGCAGGTATATACACAACACGGGGAAACATGGCGCGATGCGAATAAACTTGGTTTCTTTCATAACCTAGATCGTCAGTCACGTATTACCAAGCTGTTGATATTGGTTCACTTGCACCAGGTGTTTTTTTTTTTTTTTGTACCATCACAAGAGAGATTTCTGTTGAATTCAAGACTTGTGTGTTCATTAAGTATGCGTTATTTTATTTTTAACTGCAAGCGATCAAAAATTTTTTTCAAAATATTTCAATATGTCCAATGAAAAAAAAAAAAAAAAAAAAAACAAGGATTGTAATTTGTAAATTGCGCAGCTTGTATTTGGCAAAGAAATAATATTTTTGTGTTATATTTCTAGGTATATATGTATAACAAATAAATGCAGAATTAGGGGAAGTAATAATGGATTCCACAGAAAATAATCCAGGATCTTCAGAGAAAATCGATGTGACACAATCAGAAGCGAGCAACTCTGATACTAGGGATAACACCGAAAGCTGTACAGAAGTAGAAAATAAAGATAGCACAGAAAAATGTATTGCAGTAGAAACTCAAGATAATACTGAAAGTCGTACTGAAGTAGAGACTGAGAACAATACCGAAAGCTATGTCGAAAAAGAAACTAAAAATGATTCTGAGAATTGTGTTGAAAAAGAAAGTAATGATAATACTGTAAGTCTTGCGGAAGTAGAAACTAATGATAATAGCGAAAACTGTGTGGAAGAGGAGATTAAGGATAATAATAAAAATTGCATTGAAGTAGAAACTAAGGATAACACTGTAAATTGTACAGAAGAAGAAACTAAGGATAACACTGTGAGTTGTGTAGAAGAAGAAACTAAAGATAACACTGAAACATGTAGTGAAGAAAAAACTGCAGATAGCACTGAAATTTATGTTGAAAAAGAAACTGAAAGAACTGAAGACGATACCAGAAGCTGTACCAGAGAAGAAAATAAGAATGACTCTGAGAATTGTGTTGAGAAAACTTTGGAAGAAGAGAAAACGTCTGACAAAACATCACTTGGTAAACATGATGTAGAAGTAAATGATAAAACAACACCTTCTAAAATAGATTCGTCTTCATTAAACATAGAAACTGACACTGTGCACATAGAAGCTACTGTGGAAGATGTTGAGAAAGAAGTGGAAGTATCATTGTCTGAGAAAACAAGCACAATTAATGCGCAAATAAAAGAAATTAGTGAAAAGTTATCTAAAGAAGATACATCAATTAATGCTGACAAGAAAACAGAAGCAAGTGTAACGGATTTAAATGAAAAATGTGACACGAATCAGTCACAGAATCTAGAAAATGTACATAAGACTGATTTACATAATACGGAACAAAAGTCACATGAAACTGGAGATAATACAGGAGATAATACAGAACAGGATTCGTGCAAAGTTTCAGACGAACACACAGGACAGAATACAGATATTACGGACTATACGAAATCCGCTAGTGGCGAAGTTGAAAACGAAGTAGAAATATTAGCTAGTGACAAAAATAAGGAAACCAATGTTACGGATGAATCAAGTATTAACGTAGACGATATGCAAATGGAGAATCAGAAAGAGGCTGATGCCTCAAAAAAAGTGGAATCGGAATCGTCAGATAGTAATGCAGAAAATACCGATAAAGATATGGCCGAGAAGAACATTGAACCTGAAAAGACAGAATTTGTGCAGTTTTCTCAAGATAAAAATGACGATTCTCAAATTGAGAACCAGTCTATGGATGCGGAAGATCCATTCGGTGGTGACAATCTCACATCCGAAAACGTGGAGCACATGGAAGTGACCAATCTTGCTGATGATGAAATTAATTTTAAAAATTTGTACAATGATAATCTGCAGGACGCAGTAAATGCTAAAAATAACGATAGTAATAAGAAATCTAGTGACAATAGTGGTGTCAAAAAAATTATGGCCAACATTGCCGCAACGTCGAGTGAAGTACGAGATATCCTTAGAAATTCGCCAATGGAAACCGATCCGTCTGATATCAATGAGTCTGAAACAGGAGCAGAAAAAACGTCATCCACAAAATCATCCAGTGAGCAAGATGAGCAAACTAGAAAGGACAATGAAGAACCAGTCACACCAATGGAAACAGATGAGTCTGGTAACACCGATGTGTTGCCCGGACAAGACGATGAATTGTGTATTATCCCCGATAATATGAAGGTAATTATGCCAAATAAAACGGGTAACGCGACAAGTGGGAAATCGTCTGCGCTCGACAAAGACTCGGAAGAAGACAAAACAGAAAAATGTAGCGAATCTAATTCCGAGCTTAACAAAGACAATTCACAAGACGAGCCCGTTACAGAAACCGTGAGCACCAAACAAAGTTCAATCGCGATCATTAAGGAGGCGATGGCAACGGAAAAAGTGGACATAGTGACGGATGTCATTAATGTTGAAGAAGAAATGAAGTCTTTGGAAGTGGAAGAAATTTCCGCTAACGAGACGTGTAAGCAATGCGGCGAAGACAGACCGTGCAAGATTCAGGTGAAGATCGGCACGGATACGTATCGTGTGTGCTCGAAAACGTGCAGAGCATTGTTCAAGATGACAGCCAATAAGAAAGCGGCAGACGTGACGAGTAACGATCTGATGAGCACCGAAACCAGCTCTAAACGAGACAAACGATGCGCATCTTGCTTACTAATTATAGACGCGAATGACGATCGAAATCTTTCTTGGGAGACCATGGAATTTTGCAATGAGGAATGTTTGGGAAAGTTTCAAAAAAAATACGGCAGTTATTGCAAGAACTGTAACGGGACGGTTCAACCTGTAAGTTTGGGCAAATATTGCGTGAGATTTGGATGCGATGTCAGACAGTTTTGTTGCTCCACGTGTTTGGAGGAGTTTAAAAAGGGTTTGAAAGTTTGCAGTTATTGTCAGAAAGACATAAGTAGTGGAGACGGTTTTCTTGCGCCTGTCGGCGAGAAGGGACAGTTCAAAGACTTTTGCACTCAGGATTGCATGGAGAAATATTCGAAGTTGAATTCGTCGGAACCTCCGGCTCCGGAAAAGAAGCCTTGCGGTGTCTGCAAAGAGGTATATTTTCAAGATAATTTTCCGAACTCTAGTCGAGAGACTGCCTCGATGACATAATAGACGTTATTTAAATGGATTGTTTTCTTACAGGAAAAACTTGTACATTGCGAGGTTCAGATATACAACAGCACCCCGGTGGCCATATGCAGCGAACCTTGTTTCGCGGCGTTCAAGTTTGTCAAACAAGTCAAGCCTGAACAATGTTCCACTTGTAAAAAGTTCTTCGAATTACCGAACAAGCAACACTTCATCGTGTTCTACGAGAACGAGCCCCACACATTTTGTAACAAAACGTGTTTGAATATATTTATCATAACGAATAGAAAAATAGTTCCGTGCAATTGGTGTAAAGTAAAGAAGTATAACTTTGATATGATTAAAAAAGAATTGAAACTCGGACAAACTCTCATGATGTGCAGCTTGAATTGCTTGACGCTGTATCAGGTATCAATTTCGCTATTTCTAATATATTTGATAATAACTTTGTTTGAAAAGATAAAGAAACTTTTTTAAAATCAAATTGTTCTCTCCCACAGGTTTCCATGAATGCGGTGTCAGCAAAACGAATTAACTGTGATTGTTGCAAAGAATACTCGTTAGCGCACTACCATCTCACAATGTCGGACGCGACGATACGCAATTTCTGTTCGTACAATTGCGTTATGAATTTTCAAGCGCAGTACACCAAGTCTCCCATAACCATACCGTCGAGCGACGATCCCGTGCCTACGGGGATGCCTAAGAAAACTACATTGCCGCAGAGAGGTGTCAATCAGACATCCGGTGAGATGCAGAACAAAAAGACCATGCCTGTTATCTCGTCGGTGACGAGTCTAGCGGCGATTGCGAACGGACAAGCGAGTCCGACCGCGCAACAAAATAATATGGCGACGCAGATGGTTTACAATCAGCAAATTATCACTAGACCATCTAGTCCGGTGCGTGTTCACAATAAGACAACGCAGTGCAAGCCTTTGGTGCACACAAAGGGTGTCAATGTGCGTCCCCATCCCTGCACGAGGGGCACGCAGACGAACGAAAAGTTCGGACAAACGATATTCGTGCCTGTACCGGTGCCGATTTACGTGCCATATCCGATGCACATGTACAGTATGCCTTTTCCCGTCCCGATGCCTTTCCCATTACCTATTCCCGTGCCTATTTTCATACCTACTACGAAAAACAGTTATAAAGGAATCATGAAAGAGATCAAGAGGATACAGGAGAAGATACCGTCCGACCCGTATGAAGCCGAGCTTCTCATGATGGCGGAAATGGTAGCTACCGAGAAGAAGACTAACGACAGCGACTCGGATTTGGCCGATGATAGGTAAAGATATCGATGTATTTACGTTTAATCAACTTCGAAATAAACAAAAATGACAAAAACATGTTACACGGCGTTGTATATTTCGAGCAAATATATCACACAATTTTTTTTTTCTTTTTTCTTTTTTTCAGGGAAGGTGATCAGAACAATGATGATTCCGGTCCTGAAGCAGACTCCAACGCGTTTGAGGACGATGTGTTGCAAATGGCGTTAAAAATGGCTACGGAGGACTTGGAAGAACCGGCGGTCGATCTGGAAGCTGCTCTGACGCCAAGTACAATCACAGCCACGCAAGCACCGGCGCAGCCGGAAAATATAGACAATGATGGTACGAGATTGCTCGCCTCCCTCCCACATGAATTTGATGTACTTTGAACCATAAAATGCATTTTTTTTTATTTTTATTTTTTGCAGTGCAATCGGAACGATTGATAATTTCTAATAGAGGAAGAAAACGCGTGGTGCCGTACAAACCGCGCACGACGCCGAAACGGAGACGCGTTTCCGGCACGAATGAGATGCCGTTGATGCCGCCACCGAAACCGCAGTTACCGCCTCAACCGCGTATCATAGAACCGATTGAGAAGCCTGACGCTAATATGACACTAAAATACACATTCGGTGTAAATGCATGGAGACAATGGGTTTGTTATCTTGTTGTTTTACGTTGATTTTCTCGATAAGCTGAAAGAACTCAATTGTGAACAATTTTTCGAATCGCAGGTAATTGGAAAGAATGCCGAGCTGGAAAAGCAAATGACAGTAGGAAAGAAGACAAAATTGTTCAAAACGGATCTGTTGCAACTTACCGCGGACGAGTTGAATTATTCTCTATGTCTCTTTTTGAAGGAAGTGAGGAAGCCGAACGGGACGGAATACGCGCCCGACACGATATACTATCTTTGTCTAGGTAACAATAAACATTTGTGCGCAACAGAGCACAGTTGCAACCCTAACAAAGATATTTGTTTTTGTGTCGCGTATATCTTTATATTATATTTAATTTTTGTTTCATAGTGATATATTTGTGTTTTCTTTATTTCAGGAATACAACAATACCTGTTTGAAAACAACAGAATCGACAATATATTCACGGATTCGTATTACGAGAGATTCACAGACTGTCTGAACGAAATAGCCAAAAAGTTTTCCGTGATATACAACGACGCACGTAATTATTATTTTGATGATTTGTCGCGATTTTTCGTTTATTTTGGGTTCATAGAAAATCTCATGTCTCGCTCGCTTTGCAGAATATATCGTGACGAGAGTGGAGGAGGAACATTTGTGGGAATGCAAACAGTTAGGCGCTCATTCTCCGCACGTTCTGTTGAGCACGCTCATGTACTTCAACACAAAACATTTCAATCTTGTGGTAAGCCTGCAGATAAAACTCACTGATGAAGATTGTGCAAAGTGGTTTTAAGTTTATAACATTTTGTTACACAGAATATACTGTTATTGTTTTTCTCTAAATTCTAACGATCTCTTGTCTTCAGACAGTGGAGGAACATATGCAACTTTCGTTTTCCCATATCATGAAACATTGGAAACGCAATCCGGCAGCTCAACCCACAACAGTCACAGGAAAAGGTCCCGGCACAAGGAATGTTCTTTTGAGATTTTATCCGCCGCAATCAGCCCTTGGTTGGTGCCGATTTAATATTTTATAATGAGATCTACATTATCGGTTAAATTCTTTTTCACATACAAGGTAATGTTTTTTTTTTTTTTTTGTTAAAGAAGCCAACTCAAGAAAAAAGAAGGTGTACGAGCAACAAGAAAACGAAGAAAATCCCTTGAGATGTCCGGTAAAGTTGTACGAATTCTATTTATCAAAATGGTATGTGCTTAAACGTATTAGAATATTATATATATGTCTTGATTATCAATTATGTACACTTCGCATTATTCAAATGTTTCAGTCCCGAAAGCGTTAAGACGCGAAATGATGTCTTCTACCTATTGCCTGAACGCAGTTGTGTACCAGATAGTCCAGTGTGGTATTCAACGTCGCCTCTTGCAAAGGAACATCTCATCAAAACGTTGTATCGCATTAAAATGGTTAAAGAAATTAATGTAGCGTTATTAACGAGTTAATTCTATCGATTATATCGATCTCGTATTTTCAAACAACGACGGCGAAAATAACAAGGTATCTACTCTCTCTCTTTTTTTTTAATCTCAGAAAAACCTGAAATTTTAATTTAGAAACAATAAACTTGTACATAATTGTTATTAAAATTAGACAAGTTCTCTGTAAGAATTGTCCTTTTGTGGATTTTGCGTTATTGTTAGAATAGCCGAGTAATTCATGCCCAATTTTTTCACCTCTGATAAGTTTTCGATAATTTTATCTAAAAGATAAAATACCTTTTTTTGCATATTTTTATCCAGAGGATAGCTATTGATGAAGAAGTATGAAGAACTCGGGCCTTACTGATTGGATAAATGATAGTTAATCGTTGTTATAAAATTAGCTTACACGTTGTTTGATATTTTCTCGTAATATCTCCTCTTTCAGTATTTAAAACTCATTAAAAAATAGTTTCGAATTCTCTCTGTTACAATTAAATAGTAAGAAAAAATGTAACGCAATAAAAGAATTTCATTATATAACAGAATAATCTTCTAGTTTATAATATCTTAATTTGTCCCCAATTTTAATAAAAAAATGCATGATTCGGAAAGTTAACAGAGTATCTTCTTCAAAGATTGAGTAGACACCTTGAGTAGAGACAGCGAAAAAAATAGACATTTTTTTAAACACTTGACATGTCGGCCGGAAATTTGAATCTAATTCTGTTTGTTAAACTGACTGATACGGATTATATAGATATATATACATATACAGATATATGTATATATATATATATACATACACACACGTTTTATACTGCTTAAATCTGACATTATTGTGTGAAGAAAGTTGTATCCGCGAGAGATTTTATTAAGTTTACTGAAACATATAGATGCATGGATGGCGATTCATGTTTTTACGAATGTAAGTATGTGCGTGAATTATTTAAAAACAAACACGTGGACATCAATTATTACAGTGCGATAATCAAACATGAGATACTTGCCAGTGGAATGTAAACAAAATCGTAGAATTAGAATTTTCGAGTTTCTATTGTATATTTTTCACTTCCCAATAAAATGAAAATTTTATTGATCATAAAAAATTTACGAAGTTCGATTATCTTATTGTACACTTGACACGTAATGAGACTTACTTTGGACTTACAAAGCCCGAGGAAGTCGTCGGCAATGTTTTTACGCTACGCGACGATGATTTTTTTTTAAGCAAGCCGGACTTGCTTCCATAACAAAATTAAATTAAATTAGTGTATTAAGGGAAACATCTTTGTAGTATAGATACGTGTAACATATCGGTTTCTTAGAGTATAAGTACATAAGGTAATTTGATAAAAAAGTTTTTACATTGCTCTGCTTGATAGAAGCGAAATATACAAATTTTTTTCTCAAACGTTTTAAACTTCAATACGTGTATGACATTTTATACTAATCGTCATATATTTTCAGGGAACGAATTACAGGTACTTATCATATATACACATTACTGACAAGTACACATATATGCACGCGTATAGAATTGTACAAATAAAACGAAAAATTAGATTTGCTTACTTTTTTCTTTATATCATCAAAAATCTAAAAGATGCATAATCGTTCGCGATAGTTTTACCCAGTTTTCTTTGGACGTACAAAAGTGCGTTTATGTCTCTGCTTGTATTGAGAAATCTCCAATTTGCGTAATTTCTCATATACTTCGCTGAATATTTCATCCTGTTCTTCTAGAGGAATAGTTTCTCTATAAAAAGATATTAATTTAATCAGTTGTGAGATTTACACAAGGACTGTATGAAATATTATATACACTTAGATACTTTCAATATTTCCTCTTACCTATATGTTTTCATCAGATCGTATTTTTCCCAAGGTTTTTCATTAGCCTTGGCTTTCCTAGCGCGGTTCTTTGTGAGCGTGTATGTGTTTGCTATACCTTTCAGTTCTTGAATTTCCCATTTTTCCGTCCACAGTCGTCGATCATATAGCTCTATTACAGTTTTATTTACAGGCACCGGTGTGCCTTCTGGCAAATATTCTGGTTCCATGTCAAATGGAAAGGTACTGTGTTCCAGTGGCGCATCTCGCAGATATCTTAGATGTGGGTCCATTCTTTTCTCGAGTCTAGATAGTTTGTGAGCAATAATATATAAATATCAATAAAAAAAAAAAAAAGATTTTCTTGAAAAGTAATTTAAACAAGGACAATAACAAATCTGTGCATTCACCTGAGGCACTCTATTTTATGTAGCACAGGATCGTACACATTGAAGGACACTTCAACACCTTGATTGTCAACTACATTTCTCAGTATAAACATAGATCTCAATCCAGTTCCAACTCTCTGAATGCATATACCGACGAATCTGTTGACTTTTCCAGGAGCATGGGGTTCGGAATAAGTTGCAGCTAGTATGGAACCGATGTAAAATTCGGGTATTACTATGTGCGCTCGCCTCGCTAACATGTCCATGCGCTCCAACTTCTCTCTAAGTGGATTTCGATACTTCGTATCCGGTTCCGGCAAAAATTCTGGATATATAAATCGATATCTGTCGGAAAATGATGTGTTTCGCTTGATATTTTCTTTTGGCGCTTCAACGTGTGATTCCACCGACAGCTCCGAGGTGGCCGTCGAACTATTTTTCCTGGTTGCATTGTCTGCGCAACAAATGATTTTTATCAGTTTTCACATATTTGTAATAATTTTAATAAACAAACAATCATTAAAAAGTAAATTCATATAAAGTAATATATTTATATATAAAAACACAATTCTGTCTATCATAATTAAATCGTAATTATCACTGGAGAACTCACGTAGTATTCTTGCTGCTTGCAATTTGCCGTAACCTGTACCTGTACGAGAGAAAATTCTCGAAATCACAACCATGTTTGGTTAATTTTCTATCAATCTGTGCGTATTTCTGATGTTCATTTAAATTACACAGTTTTTTCACCAAATTATTTCACACAAATCAACAACGATAACATCTGACCGGTGCGGAAGCTTTTTCCACAGTCCGGCGAATTAGCTGCCGCCTGCCATACAAGTTGTTCGGCCTGTTCTACAATACGGTCGTAAGTTGTAAGTCGTAAGAAATTGATCAATCACAGACAAATCACAGAAGAATAATCGATTGTGATTGGTCAATTTTTTACGACTTACGACTGTATCGTAGAACAGACCTACGCAAAACTGTCCGAGACGATTCGATTGGTTGACGCGCAAGTACGCCGCATAGAAAAACAGCCTCATCTAATCCGATTGGCTGCTCTCGAACCAATAAAAAATCAGCGTGAGAACGAACAATGAGATTTTTTTGATGAATCGCACGAGACGCGGTTAACTTCGCGTCGAGCGGTTTCCCCTAATGACGAGATTCGAGAACTCGATCGAGAGTTGGACGTCGCGAACATAGCGACGCGTCGCATACTCGACGAACTTCAGACGATCGAATGCGCTGTCGCGTCCTTTGACACGCTTAACCGCGTACCAGAAAACGATTTCGCCACTGTTTCTCTACTGACATTTTGATCGTTCTGATCATGCCAAGTGTTTACAGAAAGTCACGTAAATTACGTCGCAGACGATGCATACGGGCTAAGTGAATCGGGAGTTGCGAAAATTTCGTGCTTTGTTCACCCGGAACTGTGTGCTCGCGAAGCGGACGAATTGGCACGGTGGGCCGTTATCGGATATATTTGCTTTATTGATATTTTGACAGACCCGCGGTGCCTATGCATATTTCCAGGTAATCGCTCGATCGCGGCAACATCGTTTCTTCCCCCGTTCCGCCGTTCACGGAATTCGGGAATCTCTATTCAAACTTCGTTACCGAGAGAATTTTGTTTACGTCGTGGCTTGTATACGTGCTCGGCGAACGCACATAACCTCCAACTAATGGACTCTTCGCGTTTGTTTCTTCATTAATTTGAATATCCATTAACGCGGGTTGATTATCATCTTGATTAATTAAACATTCTGCTCGAATAATGCACTCGCGTGTTCGCGAAATGAAACGGAGTTCTCTAGTAATCTTTTGTTGAAAAATATGTCAGCAAATTTTAACAATAATTTTATAAAGATTCGCAATACTTGTGTTATTTTTTTCCGAGTCATTGTTAATTATTGTTACATTTAATGGCTTTTATTTGAGGACGCAAGATTTTTTATAAATATTATTTTACGTCAACGTGTGTGTACGTATGTGTTAAAAAAGTTTTGTGATGTGTTTTAGAACACGTTAGAACTGCAGTGCTTGTTACATTCAATTAATTCGGCAAGTAATCATCATGTCAGAAATAATATATCCTGCGGGCTGCAGGTCAGTGACAGAAGACTTAGGTCCTGACGAATTAATCAGGAGACTTAAGGTACAGCAAAGTTCAAGTTTTAGTGTTGTAAATAATAAATATCATACGGTATATTTTATGATATTGAAATATGTATGCGTATCTAGACATTAGCGCACACATTACAAGCTATGGGACAGGATGAAGGAATGTACCAGCAGTATATTCCACTTGCATTACATTTGGCTGAGGAACATTTCCTGATGCATCAGAGTAAAGATGTACAGCTTCTGATTGCCTGTTGTATTGCTGATGTTCTGAGAGTCTATGCTCCAGAAGCTCCCTATAAAGATGCTGACCAGGTAAAAATTTAAATTATACAAGTGAAACTATACGCTAACCATTTTATAGACTAATAAAAATTTATAAAAATTATAAAAAAGTTGTTTAATGTGACTTGGACTATGTACAGTTTAACATTGCTGTTTTTTACTATGATTTCTTAGGTCAAAACAATCTTCCTGTTTCTCATTAAACAACTGGCGGGCTTAAAAGATCCCAAAGATCCTGCTTTCAAGAGATACTTTTATTTACTTGAAAATTTAGCTTATGTTAAATCATTTAACATGTGCTTTGAGTTGGAGGATTGCCAGGAGATTTTCTGTGCACTGTTTTCCCTTATGTTCAGAATAGTGAAGTGAGTACGACAGTTGGAAAGTAATTGTCCAAAGTTCTCTGCGATATAGAATAATCATTTGCAATCTGTTTCTAGTGACGAACATTCCGGCAAAGTTAAGAGTTTTATGCTGGATGTTCTGTGCCCATTGATTACCGAATCGGACATTGTGAGTAACGAACTGTTGGATATTATACTTATGAATATCGTAGAACCGAACAAAACGCAGAAAAAGAACGCATATTTACTCGCCAAAGAGCTGGTAATTAAATGCAGCGATACACTAGAACCATACATTCAAGCGGTGAGTAGGTGACAATTTTAACATTGTTTTCTTCAAAATGACCATTTTAATGTTTTCTATGTATGTTAAACTTTTGACACCCTCTTTCACACAGTTTTTTAATCACGTCTTAATACTGGGCAAAGAAGAGAAGAGTTTGCAAATTTGCAAGAAAGTTTACGACTTGATTTACGAACTGAATCACATATGTCCGAGTGTCCTGCTCTCCGTCCTTCCGCAATTGGAATGCAAGCTAAAATCCTCAATCGAGAACGAGCGATTGGGCGCTGTAGCGCTGTTGGCGAGAATGTTCTCCGAAAAAGGCTCGCAACTGGCCGTACAGCACACGCAGCTCTGGAGAGCGTTTCTGGGACGATTCAACGACATAAGCGTGTCAATTCGTACCAAGTGTGTGCAGTATTCGATGCACTTCTTGCTGAACCATCCTGAACTGAGAAAGGACATTACAGACACTTTGAAGTTACGACAACACGACGCCGATGAAAGCGTTCGCTACGAGGTGGTTATGGCGATAGTAACAACCGCCAGACGAGACTTCGAAGTTGTGTCGGACAGTGAAGATTTGCTCGAATTCGTTAAGGAAAGAACATTGGATAAAAAGGTAAGATATTTTTGGCTAAAAATTTAAAATAGTATACAATGTATATACTTATGCATACGACTTGTTAAATGATTGTAGTTTAAAATACGCAAAGAGGCGATGTCAGGTTTAGCTATGATATACAAGAAACATCTGAATGACGCGGACGTGCCGCAAGCGACGAAGAAAGCGGTCATTTGGATAAAGGATAAAATATTGCACGGTTATTACATGGCAGGCATGGAAGACAGGTTATTGGTGGAGAGATTGTTGAATACGTGCCTAGTACCTTATCAGCTACCTGCTGAAGAGCGAATGAAGAAGTTGTATCATCTCTTGGGTACGATCGATGATCACGCTTCCAAGGCTTTTGTAGAACTTCAGAAACATCAACTCGCGTACGTTATCGCATCACTTGCTTTAATAAATTATTTTGTGTGTGTGTTTTTGTTTCAATAAAAATCGAATGTGTGCATATTCAGTGTGCGAAGAGCGGTGGTCGAATGGATTGAAATCGTGAAGAAACAGGAAGCGAAGAACGAACTGATGACGAAAGTTCATCAGATATCGCGCTTTCTGCCGGAACCTATGAAGGTGCAGGAATTTCTTCAAAGATTCAGCACTCACATGAAAAAAGATGCTAGATTGCTGCAGGAAATGGAGACAATCGTGCAGCCGAACGTATCCTGCAAGGAATGCGCTGACACGATAACTAAGGTTCTCAAAAAATTAGGTCAGCCTGTTATGACCAACCTGTATTACAACACAATCAAGATGCTGCTCGAAAGAGTAAGCTCCGTTATGATCGACGAAGAGGCGATTAGAGTAAGTGTTCTGAAAAACGTTTCATATACGCGTATATGAAAAAAAAAAACATAGCGTTTAATATCTGTGTATGCACAAATTAGGTTTTAATTGGATACGTCTTGGACTGTCTGAAAGGAGGTAATGTAATAGAAGAGGTAGGCCTTAATCCGAACAATGCCGGAGAAAAGGGATTAAGATTATTAGTAGTAAGTTATCTTTTCGCATGTGATTAAAATTAAACTCGTCGATAAGATTATTTTGTAATCGAAATTACAATGTTTTTAATATATTTCAGATGCTATCGTTTGTATTCGGTCCACACTTCCTACACAACGACATTCTGATGCAACTGGTTAATCTCCTCGAGATAGAAGACGAAATGGTGGCGCCGCTGGTTCTCTCCATTTTCACTTTCTTGGGAAAATACAAACCTTTGTGTGAAGTAGCACCGGACATTATGAACCTCATAGTGCCGATATGCAAGAATTTCTCCGAGACAGGAACGCCAAAGCAGGCGAAACAAGCTGTTAGATGTCTGTTCGTCAATATGACCAACATTCACGACACCATCTTCCCCGAGATCATCGAGAGAATTAAAAACACGCTAACACCGACGTCGCCATATTATCGAACAGCCATAGTCACATTAGGTCACATAGCGTATAATTTGCCAGATAAATATCAAGTACAAATAAAAAATATGGTGTCCAGAAAAGTAAGTGCGCGCAAAATATAATCTTAACGGTGTAACTCACGCGACTATTGATACACAATTTTGATGTTCGCTCTTGCAGATAGTTAAGGAATTACTAGTGAAGGAAAGCAGCGAGCCAACCAATGAGACCATCGAAGGAGATTGGTGCAGAGAAGATCAATTACCTGAGGAGACGCGATGCAGATTGGAAGGCCTGAAGTGTATGGCGCGTTGGCTGTTGGGATTGAAGACCGACGTACTGTCCGCGCAGAAAACATTCAGAATGTTGAACGCCTTTATGATGAATAAAGGAGATTTGCTATCGCAAGGACGTTTGAGCAAGGCCGAGATGAGCTGGTTACGATTACAGGCGGGCTGCTCGATGCTCAAGATATGCGAGCAGAAGGGTGTCGGCGATCAATACACCGCTGAACAGTTTTATAATCTTTCGCAGCTCATGGTTGTACGTAAATGAATGTGTTTTTTTTTCTTTCTTTTTGAATCAGTTTTCAGCGGTAATTGATGATTTTATTTCAATAAATCGCGTTCTTTCGATGTTCAGGATGAAGTTCCACAAGTCAGAGAGGCTTTCGGTAGTAAATTGCATAAAGGTCTCGGAAGAGGGATACCAAACAAATGCCTGCCGTTAGATTTCATGGGATATTACGCCCTGGCCGGCAAAGAACAAGACAAAAAGTTGAAGTGCATGCTAAAGACTTATATGCAGACAGATATAAATAAGAGGAGGGATTATGTGAGGACACTTTCACTGGGTACTGTTGAGCGGGCAATAGGTAAGAGAGATTAAACAGTAAGAAATAACGAAAATATCGTTTAACTTTTTATCGTTTCGTCGAATTTACGAAAAATGATCACTTGATAACTTTGCAGGTCAATTGCCGCATATTTTACCGGATTACATGTTGGTTTTCGCCGTACCTATTCTCGCACATGATCCCGAATTCACGAGTCACTTGATGGTGAGCCAGTTAAAAGTGATTCAGCAGTGTCTTTGGTTCATATTGGAACCCTTGATCACGAAGAATGAACATTACTGTTACGGATTTTACAAGAATCTTGTGGAGCACATGAAAAGTCACAAAGACGCGTTGAAGCCTGACGACAACAACATGAATTATGTAATTATCGTGATTCAACTCTATTCTCAAACGATCTGCACAATACAGTAAATTAATCGTCACTTGTTTTTTATTTTGTTACATATTACATACACAGAAACTCTGGGCTGTTTGTGACTTGGCAATGAATGTGATATACACAAAAACCACGAACTTCGACATGAAAGAGTTCCCGAGTGAGGCGCGAATCCCCACGATGTACTTCAAACGGTCGGACGACATGATAGCCAACACCAAGAATTATTTGCCCCCGGAAATGCAGATAAACATGACGAGTACAAAGGTGAAGGGAGCATTCCACAACACGCTCAACGAGAGACCGCAACGTAGAACCAAGGGCAAACAAAAGGAAGTGGGCATCGGACCTAACGAAACAGATGCAAGGGTAAGCCAAGTTTGGCTACAATAGAATTTATCTGCCGGCATATACTCGATTTAATGCGAATATAGAAGAGAAACTGCATTATCTTGTGGATTATATTGTTAGAAAATTTAAAAAATAAAGTCGCTATCGTGACAAATATCGCATATTTAATTCTTTGAGTATGTATAATTTCAAGCTGCAAGTTGCGGAAGTGGAATGTATCGATGCACAGGTAATTTTTTCTAAATCTTGCAATGTGTTAGAAGAACATAATATGTATTTTGTTCGTAACTTTGTTTTAAATTGATTATTTTAAGACTCAAATAAAAAAATCTAATTCTCTAATTCTTATTAAAGCATAGATGTGTGTTGTGTGTTGATAAATAAATTTATTTCCAGCCTGCCGAAGCATCAGAGACTAGAATTCATCTACCTGGCTTAGAAGAAGAAGTAAGTTTACTTCGGTAACACTAAATAATGTATTAAAAGCACAGTCAATCTGATTGCATATATTTTTTTATATTTTTTTTAGATTGAGGAACCACCAGCGAAGAGGGCATTAAAGGAATCGGATAAAGTAAATAAATAATTTTAGTGATCACACAACACAGACTATACATAAGAGACACTGGAAAGGGAAAAGACTAAAAACATGATAATAAAAAAAGATTTAAGAATCTAAAAGAAGAAATACTTCACAAATTAGAAAACAGAATATTTTGATTATGTATAACAAGTAAACCTAAGTCGTGTATTTCTAGAGTGTAAGATGTTAAGATTATACGACAGATTGGCGTAAGCTTGTAAACGGGGAGCGCTCTCTGAACTTGGAATTTGTGAACGAAACGGATATAACGGATATAAAAAATGTAATAGAACGAAAAGTTTTATTATATCTTTCATAAATAATTTGGTATTGATATTTAATTTTTTGTGTTACTATTTTTTTATAGATTAACATGACGTATTATATAATTTTTACTACGTTAAAACATTCTTCAGGCGATCCAGTCTCTTTATTCTATAACTTTCATGCCAACAATTTTGTTACAAATTACACAATAAGGGTGCTTTTGTTTCAGAGAGTAAAAATTTTTTTTCTTAATTGTTTAACGAAATAAATTTTTGGGGATTTTGTAGTTTTTTTTCTTCTTTTTAATTATTGTATTCAATTTTGCACTTTTATGAAATTAAAGCATTTTTTACGTCTCTTTCTTTCTCTCTCCCTCTGTCTCTCTGTTTCACGAATATAAATGCAACGTTGTTTTGCTGAAAAAAATAGCATTTTTTTAGTTTTTATTTTTTTAAATTTTTTTTTAACAACAATATTATCAGTATAATTTAAGAAGTGAACTGGTGATTGAGAAGTGAGTAAAATTAAATCCATTTTCTGCAAGAGAAAACTTGTATTCAGATATATTAAAACTATCGTCACTTTGTAAGCAGTAAAGAAGACTACTATAGTTTTGTTGCGTAAACGATATATATTAGATAAGGAATTTGTGTGTCTATTGGCTTTGTGATTTAAAGTTGTTGGTTTTAAAGGATGCGATGATGATTATTATTGTCAACACATTTTTTCAGTCGCGATTATTATATATATTATATATTATATATATATATATATATATATATATATATGTATATATATGTATATATATATATACATATATATTAACGAGCATCTATGTGAAATCGATGAGAAACCGAACACATACTGCGAATACTTTGCGAAAAACCTTCAACTTTTGTATTTATAAATAAACCTAAAATTATACACACAAATTACACGTCGGTTGCAAAATGTTATTGCGTATATATAACACCTTTTTACATTGATATATATAAATTCTTTTTTTTTAAATGTGTGTAAAAAAATTGATATAGTAAAATAGAGAGATAAAGAAAACGAGAAAATTTTTTGATACAAATTTGAATAAAATTTTAAATGTGTAAAGTGGGCCTATAGGTTTTAAAGAATGTTTAAAAGTTCTAAACAGTAGGATTATATTTAAAAAAAAAAAAAAAAAAAAAAAAAACTGGGAAAAACATTCGACTATACCTATAAATTTTAAAACCAAATGAAAATCACTTGAATGAATTCACTTTTGAGCAAATGGTGACGGATGATTGAGGTCGCATGTATAAATATATTAGAATTAACACCATATGCTATATTACCTCCCTCCGTATAGAAATTACAGTACAATGCACTAATACTTTGTAAGTTTTCAAGAATGTTTACAAATATGTGATTAAATATGTTTTTCTCCTCTCTTTCTCTCTCTTTCTTACTAATTTTTCTCTTTTATGCGTTTTATATTAGATTTGTCTGAGGACACATCTTGTACAATTCATTAACAAATATTTCTATATTGCTATATATATACATATATATATATATACATACATACATACATACATACATACATACATATATATATGTATATATATATATACATATGATATACATATATGATCTTGTGTGCGCGAACGTGATCGGCAACAACGCTATCGAAATATCTTTGTAATATGATTATTATTTTTGCATGGTACTGCAATTTTTCAAACGGTAAATAAATAATAATAAAAGTAACACAGAGATATGCACATAATCTAATTAAGCAAATAAGTGATTAGTAACTATTCACTCATCTGTCAATCTATGAAACACATTGCATATTGTATATACATATAATGGTTCTATGTAATAAAAAACAAGTCAAGTAACACATACGTTTAATTATACAAAATTGTCAGATATATTACAAAGTCAACGTCTTTTGGCGAATTTTGTTTGTTTTTTCTTTTTGTCTGTTCTCGCTGCGAATTTATTTTTTTGTTTCGTTTTCAGCGTAGCTTGTTTCTTCTTTACGTTCGCCCTAAAATACACGAACAAACGATTAATATGTTAGTACATTACGGATTTCATATTTTTGAAAGTTTTTTTTGACATATGTGTAACGAGCAGATATCCAACAAAGAAATATATATGTATATATACGTACTCATATCGCATTCTTTTAACAGCTTTTTTGCTCGTATCTGTTAAATCGTCCGTGAATACTGATCGTCGCTTCAATTTTCGCTTCACTGAAATCATTACGCGCGACTCGTTAGACTGACAATTATCTTTCACAAATTATTATAACACAAAACGCGCGTTCTATACCTTTTTTATTATCGTCACTATCGTAATTGTTCGCAACTGTACGAATCTTTTTCGGTTTATTAAGTCTTTTGGCTACTCGCGCTTGATAGGCGAGTGTCTTCTCTAACTCTCTATTAGCTCTGTCCTCCGCCGTGTTTTGCTTAGGCTCATTTTTCTGCGCTTTCTTTTTGTCTTGTACAAAGTTGATCGGTTCCTTTTCAACATTTTTGCTTTTTTTTTGTTTCTTAGTCAATCGAAGATTATCTGAAAAGGATACAAAAAGATTATAGTTTCATTACCTGCGTGTTACTGCCGTTTCAATATAAATTATTATTAAATGCATTACTCTTTTCTTTGATTCTCTCCTTCTTAGTTTGAAACCAGCTTCTTCGATCCTTGTTGTCGTCATCCTGAAGCAACTTCTCAGCGCGATTAGCTTGATTCTCTAATTTAGCTAATTCTCTTTCACTCTTCTCCTCTTGCAGAATCTTTTCCACAGATGGTTCCAGGGATTCCAGTTTCTTGTTATACTTTTCTATTATGTCAGGCGGTATTATTCTATTCTTGATTGAATTCTTCGACTGTTTAATAATCTTTTTCACCAAAACACGTTCCTCTTCACCGGCTAACGACACAGAAACACCTCCTCGCCCCGCTCTCGCAGTTCTTCCGACTCTAAGGTTACAAAGCAAATAACTTTGGTAAGTTCTCTATGTATTAAGATCTTTAAAGTCAGGACGAGCTTATTTTATTACCTGTGTATATAATGTTGAAGAGTAGCGGGCATTACAAAATTAATCACAGTCTTTACACCGCTTATATCCAGACCTCTTGCAGCAACGTCGGTCGCTAATAAAATGTCAATTTCCTCGTCTTGGAATCTCCGTAGGTTCTCCAGTCGTTGCGGCTGCGTAAGATCACCGTGAAGTTCTCCAACCTTTTCAAATATAGCAAAATAATACAAAATTATATAAAACATTTCGACTATCTGGCTGTAAATGTTGATTTACATGTTTACGTACTTTCACGCCTAAGAGGCCCAGTAAAATATGCAATCTGTGAGCTTGTTTTTTTGTCTGAACAAAAACTATAGCATGATCGTGGAAAGTTCGAGAAACCAACGCCGCTAGAATGGCTTCACGATCTCCTTCTCTTTTCTTGCGTATGCTAAAGACATAATTCAGTGAACAACGAAGTCAAATGTAAATACTAATAATTGCAATTGATTTAATTACCGAATAAATTCTTGACGTAAGTTGAAAGCTACATCCTGATTGCTATCCACGAATATTTTAATCGGTTTGTCGAGCGACATTGCGGCTAACTCTTTGACCTCTTCGGTCATAGTGGCGGAAAAGAGAATAGTCTGTCTAGTTCTTGAACATTGCTTCACAATGTATTGCATCTGTTCGGCAAAATATTCGTCTAGCATTCTTAAAGAAAAATTGGTTTTTTGGCGAGATATTATATTATAAAAATGTGTTTTATATTAATAATTTTACCTGTCAGCTTCATCTAGAATCAGTATTTCAATCCTGTCCAATGAGAAGGTAGGTGCATTTTTTAAGTGGTCAATTAATCTACCGGGTGTCGCTATTACAATATCTGGCCGTTTTCTTAACATACCTTCCTGATCAAAAATGAATGTTAAAACAATGTAACATTTTATCCGCAATCATGTTAATCTCATAACTTGTAACATAAAACATCTCTTACTTGCACTTTGACATCCAATCCACCAACAGACAAACCGACTTCTACTGACGTAAACTGAGCTAATTGTTTTGTCACTTGATAAACTTGCACTCCCAGCTCTCTGGTAGGCACCAGTACAAGAACGCGCGTGACAGCAGGACCTACGGGCTTGAACAGCAATCTCTCTAAAGTGGGAAGCATGTAAGCAGCTGTCTTACCAGTTCCAGTTGCCGCACAGCCACAGATGTCACGACCCATTAAAGCTACAGGAATAGTCGCAGCTTGTATGGGAGTTGGATCCACAAAATTCATTTTATTTATAGCCTACAAATTGATTTCATTATGTATTTTATACATTTTTATTTCTTAGGCAGTTTACTTGTAATGTAATCATTTGTTTATTAATTACATTGCACATACCATTAACAAAGGTCTAGATAAGTGCATTTGTAGAAATGTAGCATGATGATCTACATCCTGAATCTCCTCAAAATCAATTATTTGATCTTCCTTGGCAGGCTCTTTCCTTTTCCCTTTTCTTTCCTTAGTTTTAATAACATCTGCAATTAATCAAATTATATATATATATACAAAATTGTTTAAACCCTTAAGTATGTACCTTTTTTAAGTTCATCATCAGATAGAGAAATAGTATCATCATCAGGTTCAGATTCCAGTTCATGTTCAGATTCAGGATCAATCTTAACAGGATCGTCTTCTGTTCCTTCCTAGTAATAGTAATAATAAAAAGTTTTATTTTTGTAATTAAATATTATTTATTTTTAAAGTTTGTGATTAAGCATATAGTATGACACACCTCTTTATTATGTTCATTTCTAACTTTCTTTATTATATCATCTAACTTTGTGTTTGCTTTTCTTTTGACATATTTACTCAGATCACTCCAAGGATCCTGATTGTATTCAGCCTCGCTGGTTACAAACTCAAAGTTACTATCAAACTCCTTACACTTTTTTCGTTGTTTTTGTGACTGAAACTAAGATGAATAATTGTATACACACAAAATTATTTTAGCATTTGTATACATAAAATTATTTTAGCTTACATTGTCTTCCTCGTCTGAAGTTTCCGAATAATTCGGTACCTCTTGATCACTTTCGATAGTTCTTATTAAATCATAATCAGTAGTCATTTTGTTGACTTAAAAAAATATGTACCAAAAATATATATACCATAAACAAAAGATTTATTTACAATCCCTTAAATTCCTCTTTTTTTCGTACTTTTCAGTACTCTTTGGCGGAGTATTCAACACGTGGGCTATCCGCGAGACAAGCGATATGTCAATTGCCATACACATGTAAATCATAAACTTAAAGCTCGTATCATACGATGGATAAAAATTTGATTAAAATTCGATCAAATCAGGGCTGTGTTCAGTTAAGCAAGATGGAACGAACTAATGCAAGAAATGAAGGAAATACAGGAATTGGAACTAATGAAACTAATAGGTTTGTTTTACTTGCATACACGAAAAGTGTAAAGTGTACGCCTTACACTTTTAATACACTACACTTTTTGGAAGTGGGGGAAACATCATGTAAAGTGTATGCTTTTCAAGAAAAACGCCAGAGTGTAACAAAAGTGTACTACAATGACACAGTGAAAATACTACGCAAACAAAATAATTTTTAATAATTTAACATATAATTTAATACTATATTTAAAGAATTTATAATTTTTATCATATTGAAAGAATGATATTGTAATGAATTTAACATATTTTAACATATATCTTATTATATATATGTAAAATTTGATACAATAACCTATTACTTCACTTGATGAACATCTCATCACATCCAACTGAGTTCTAAAATGACATTCAAAACATAAACAAACTAAAGCTGAAACGTTACACTAGCTTTACACCACTTCTCAAGGGCTGTGTTCAGTTAAGCAAGATGGAACGAACTAATGCAGGAAATGCAGGAAATACAGGAATTGGAACTAATGAAACTAATGAAACTAATGAAAGAA